CCCCAGAAATGCTGCCTGGGGGCTACGTTGTTTTCAGACACCCCAAAAACACTGCCCTGGGGCTACGCTGTCCCCACAGACACCCCAGAAATGCTGCCTGGGGGCTACATTGTTTTCAGACACCCCAAAACCGCTGCCCTAGGGCTACGCTGTCCCTCTACAGACACCCCAAAGCCCCCCTAGGGCTACGCTGACTCTCCAGCTGCCCGCCCTGCGCATGGCGTCCCGAGCCCAGCCGGGGGGGTGTGAGGGGGGGGGGTTTCTCCCGGTGCCTCACCTGAAGGCTAGAAACAGTCAGGCGGCGGGCGGCGTCGCAGGGGGCAGCGGCCGTCACCACGAAGGGGCTCTCGGGGATGTGCTCCTCGTTGAACTTCACCGACACCTCGTAGTCACCTGCGGGGAGGGGGACGGCGTCAGCGAGGGGGGGGTCCCAGTCTCTTCCTGGCCCCCCCACCCCGGCCCGACCCTTCCCCGGCCCCGTACCGGGCTCCTGGACGACGTAGGAGACGCCGCAGGATCCGTCCTTGCGGTCCTCGAAGGCGATCTCGGCTTTGCTGGGCCCCTCGACGGCGATGGAGAGGCCCCCGGCGCCCGCCTCCCGCGTCCAGATGCTGAATTCGGCTGGGGGGGGGCGGTAGCAGAAATGGGGTGTCAGGGCCCCCCCAAAGGCTTGACACCCCCCTCCCCACCCCATCACACCCCATCTGGGGGGCAGCCCCCCAGTTCCTCCCCAGCTGGGCCAGTCTGGGGGACCTGGGGCCAAGTTCAGGAGCCCAAGCTGGGTTCAGGAGACCTGCAGCAGGTTTTGGGGAGCCCCGGGGGGGTTTGAGGGGCCTCAGTTGGGATTTGGGGAACCCCCCCATAGATTTTGGGGAACCGCAGATGGATTTGGGGAATCTCCAACAGGTTTCAGGAAGCCCCAGTCAGGATTTTGGGAGCCCCGTGAAGGACCAGGGAGTCTTGTGCAGACTCGGGAGCCCCAGACAGGCCCGGGCAGTCCCAAGGGGGGGGTCAGGAAGGAGCCCTGAGGGGGCTTTTGGGGTGCCCCCCAAGCAGGTTCAGGGTCCCTGAGGGTGAATTTTAGGGTGCCTGGAACAGGTTGGGGCGCCCCAGCAGGGTGGGCATATATTTAGGGGCACCCCAAGGAGGTTTTGGGGCACCCGAAGGGGGTTCAGGGACCGTAACAGGATGAGGGCAGCCCCGCACGAGCAGCAGAGCCCCCGGGGGGGTCTCGGGCAGGTTTTGGGGTGCCCCACGCTCACCTGGCACGCCGGCCTCGGCCCGCTCGAGGCCGGGCCCCCCGGCGCGGACCTTGTGTGCGCCGCCCTCGCCCATGGGCCCCACGGTGAACTGGAAGGGGCTGCCGGGGACGTGCTGGCCCCGGTCCTTGACGCTGACCGAGTGGACGCCGGTCTCGGCGGGCACGAAGCGGATGCTGTAGGCGCCGCCGTCGCCCTCCAGCACCTGCGCCGGCACCGCCTGCCCCGAGGGGCCCGTCACCACCGCCGTCACCTCGTGGGCGCTCAGCTCTGCCGGCAACGGGGTGGAGGTCATGGGGGGGGAGGGGGGGGGTGCACGGGGCTCCCCCCGGCCCCCACCACCGCCCTAGGGACCCTCCCGTGCCAGGGGAGGTCCTGGGGTTCCTCTGTGCGTCCCCACTCCGTCCCCCATGGGTCCTTGGGGGACCCTCTATCTCTGGGGTCCCCCCGCAGGTACCTGGGGTCGTGTCCCGTCTCCCCCAAAACTGCCCCAGCAGCCTCCCGAGACCCTCGGGGACCCCCCAGGGACGCTCACCCGGCATCTTGAGGCTGAGGTCGCAGGCGGTGCCAACGCTGGCCTCGGGGGGGGCGCGGCGCCGGCGCGTGATGCTCTCCTTCACTCGCCCCTCGCCCGTCACCTTCACCGAGAAGGGGCTTCCTGGGGGGGGGCGGGGGGG